ATCCAACAACTCTATTCAAAACGGTTGGGGAAGCATGTGTGCTATGCAGAACCCCGCACGGGATATACCGAGCCTGCGCCGGCAGATGGCGGATGCAGGGTCTCTGCCCTCCACATCGGGATCCTGTATATGAGTTCACTAGACGGGTTCAGCGCGACGCGTTTGAAATGTTCATGATCATCAGGTCTTGAATCTTCTTTCAAATCACACGAAGTGTCTGTATTCATACACTACAATCAGATAATCTTGACGCTCAGTTACCTCTCTATACCCCCAGATCACCTCCAAAAATGGCCTCCAAACCCCAAATCGCCAATGACCTTCCCAAGGTTAACCGCTTCATCACAACCCACGATCCCACCACCAAGAAAGCCATATTCTCCGATGCGGTCCCTGAAGAAGCCAAAGTCGACCATATTCCCAATGCCGACTTCCGGCTTGGATACGTTACCAAGGGATTTCCCGTCGATCTGAACAAAGACGCCGACCTCGCGGTTTACAAGCCTTACCTCGAGTCATCTCCAGGTCTGGTCGTTGGAGGAGGAACAGTGCTACGCTTTGTAGACGTAGCACCTGGTCATCTTTCACCTATGCATCGCACAGTCTCTCTTGACTACGGTGTCGTGCTGGAAGGTGAGATGGAGTTGGTGCTGGATTCGGGGGAGACAAGGTTGATGAAGAGGGGAGATGTTGCAATTCAGAGGGGCACGATGCACGCTTGGAGAAATACCAGCACTACATCTTGGGGACGCATGATGTATGTTCTACAAGAATGTAAACCAGTGGAGGTCGGTGGTGAGGCCCTGAAGGAGGACTACGGAAACATGCAGGGTGTTCCAGCATCGTCGTAGTCGCAGTACTACTTGTGGAAACATGAAGCCATCGCATCGTCGCGCATATACATCATCTTGCTCTGAGCCGTGCTGTGCCATATGTAGCTTCAACTAAATTTCCTGACATCGTGAGTGCGGCATACGACTGCCTTTGATGGCCTAAGTTGAAATGGCATTGTTAGTACAGGGAGCGAAAGCTCGGCTGACGCCGGCTGATCAATTTTCCCGAGGCAACAAAAAGTGAAAAGCTCGTACGAGTTCAGACGAGGTGCCAGATGTTGGTCTGTAAGGAGGCGTGTTCCACCTGTTCGCGTGTCTGTAATCGTGGAAGGTCAACTTAGGTAACGCGCCAATTGGAAGGTGGCACCTCCACATTCCGAAATGTGCCCCTCGAACACTGCCGCCGCACCTTACCAGCGGCGCGTTGTCGGCACGAGCATCCACTACGCGTCGCAATATGATGTATATATCCAAATGCTGGATGAAGTATGTTTCTTTCTTCCCAAGTACCAAATACGCAAAATGTCTGACCAGCTAGAAGTCAAAGATGCTTACTCGATTGACGAGTCGTCGTTTCCCTACCTGTATGAGCAGAATGTCGCAGTGCCGCTGAAGACATCCTCAAAAGGCATCATTCGATGCAATGTGTACCGGCCGAAGTCCACGAAGGAGGGCACGAAGCTTCCTGTGCTGGTGACGTACGGACCGTATGGAAAGGATATCCACTACAAGGAGTAAGTCAAGATGGACGTTCTCAGCCGTGCAGCAGCTAACATCTCCAGCTTTCACGGAAAGTCGTTCGCCGAAGTCAACCCCGAACATCACTCTGATCACTCAGCATGGGAGACGCCAGACCCAGGTTTCTGGACGAAGCATGACTACATCATCGTGCGCGCCGACGAACGTGGCTTGGGCCAGTCTCCAGGCTTCTTGGACACCATGTCGCGAGGAACAAGCGAGGCTTTCTTCGATGTCGTCGAGTGGGCCGCTGAGCAGCCGTGGTCTTCTGGAAAGGTCGGCCTACTCGGTATCAGCTACTATGCTGGATCCCAGTGGCGTGTGGCAGCGCGCAAGCCCAAGGGACTGGCTGCAGTTATTCCCTGGGAGGGCATGAGCGATTACTACCGTGATCGATGCCGCCATGGAGGTATCTTGAGCAACAAGTTCATCGATTTCTGGTGGTAAGTATCTCCCGCAATCTGCTATACTTCAGATACTAATTTGACTTTCACCAGGAATCGCCAGGTCATCACGAACCAATATGGTCGCCCAGGTCGTGCCGAGCGCAATTGGGGACCGGACACCGTCGATGGTAACCTCTCGGAAGAAGTGCGCGCAAAGAACCGACAAGACCAGACGATCGATACCGCCGCATTCAAGTACCGCGACGAATCATACTATGCAAGCAAAGAGTACGACATGAGCGACATCGAAGTACCGCTGCTCTCGGTCGGCAACTGGGGTGGCATTCTGCTCCATCTCCGCGGAAACATCGAAGGCTACGCACATGCCGGTTCTGAGTTCAAGTACCTACGGATGATCACGGGAAGGCACGACTTGCCGTTCTACTACAAGGAGGAAGTGGAGATACAACGAAGCTTCCTCGATGCTTTCCTCAAGGGCGATGACAGAGTTGGGTGGTCTGTCAAGGGCAAGCTTCCTCCTGTTGACATGGTACTGCGTAAAGGCGACATTGGCTTCAACGACGCCGAGAAAGAAAAGGTGTACGAACGACGAACGGAAAACGAGTGGCCCATTGCACGAACACGTTATTCGAAGTTCTACCTTACGCCATCCCAGACTTTGACGCAAGTCCAGCCCATCACCAACAGGCCACAGAAGCTGTCATACGAGGCGCTTGGCACCCTCGACAACCCCAAGCTTCTCCAGTTCACCACTGCGCCATTCGAGGAAGAGACTGAGATTACCGGCCACATCGTCGCACACCTGAACGTCTCCCTCTCAGCACACTCCAACGGTGTAACGCCATCCGACATCGACCTCTTCCTCACACTACGCTACATCTCGCCAGAAGGCAAGGAAGTCTACTACACCGGCACAGCAGGCGACCCTATCCCCCTCGCCAAGGGCTGGCTGCGCGTCAGCTTCCGCAAGACCAACCCAGACCACCCCAAGCACCGCGAATACCTCCCATGGAGAGATTACTTCAGCACCGACGTCCAGCCCGTCATACCCGGCGACGTATATGCCGTGGATGTGGAGGTCTGGCCGACCAACGTCATCGTTGAGAAGGGTGGCAAGATTGTGTTCGAGATTAGCAGCGGTGATACACAAGGTAGTGGTATCTTCCAACACAACCATCCTGAGGACAGGAGCGAGGAGAAGTTTGCGGGATGGAATCATTTGCACTTTAGCGAGAAGGCTGTGAACTATGTCACTCTGCCGATTGTACCGCCTAAATAGATCAGTAAATATGTTGTTGGAATGAAAGTTCAAATCTCGTTACATGAACTTGTCTCTACCGTTACCGCAATATCATGTGTTCGTCCTACGTCGCATAAGCACAAACATACGCGGAACACCAACGATGAGGAACAGCGTTGATTCAAGTCTTCAAGCATGACAGTAGGTGGAATCGCAAATTCGTTGGGAGTGACGATGTTGTGTGACGGTCATAAATGCGACAAGAAGTGAATTGGATATATATAGTACTCAAAATTTCTACTCCCATCTTCCGACAGTGAACTGGCTGTTGCACATATTAACCAACTCCCAGTCCTCAGCCCCAAGCACACACTCGTCGCCATCCCTCTTGCTCCCGTCAACAACCCCAGCCACAAAGCACGCCGCCATATAGTGATCGTCGGTGGCATGCGCATCCCTGAACATGGGATGTTTCATCAACCTTGTAATACCACGAGTCAGACTACCCTTCTTCGCATCCTTCCGACAGCAGCGAACGAAGACGTCTTCGACACTCTGGCGGAACTCCAGCATCGGAGCCTCTGGTGGGTAGGGCTGGGCAAAGTTGTCCGAGTATCTCAACATCTGTGCCCAGTGATTTCTGTATAGATTGTGTACCGCGCCACCTGTCCCGATGATCAGGTAGCCCTCGTCGCGGAACTTGGCCAAGATGTTACCCACACGCGCATGCAGATGTGGGTCGAATCGTGAGTTCATACTGATGATCGTTGTTGGAGGGCATTTCTCAGGAAACATCCTAATGAGAATCAAGTATGTGTCGTGGATCCAGTCAAAGGTCTCATTCGGTCGCGCATCGATGCCCTTTTCTCTCAGCGCTGCTATGCACTTCTTTCCGCTCTCGAGATCGGGGACGAGCTCGTAGTCTTTGTATTTGCGGGGGTGAACGTATGCGACGGGGGATTTGATGGGCTTGGGGTTCATGGCTACGTCGATGCGGTTTACGCCGCGAGCGTCCCAATGCGCGCCCATCATAATCACGCCTTTGAAGCCGTGGGAGAGGGCTTCGTCGCCGCAGGCTTTCCAATAGGTGGCGGATTGGGACTCCTCGCCCAGCATCATTGTTGAGCCATGGGAGAAGAAGTGTACGGGTGGCGCCATTGCGGTGTGTTGTTTCAGCCGAAGACTGAGTTGGAAGGGATGACCAAGATAGTAGAAGATCAGGTTAGATGTCCGTGTCGCGAGGTTGTGGCGGACTTGTCGCGATATTGATATCACACGGCCAAATTGTCAAACGTCGTGTCCAACACGCGGCTTCACTGGAAGCTTTACCCATTATGATCAACGCTGTATAGGCAGTCCCAGGTGCTTACGGCGGCAAAAGTCGTGATGTGGGGAGGGTTGGAGGAGAGGCCGAGCGTCTAGCCGAGGGGAAGAAGGCACGCCCGTGTCCTGTCGATCTCCGCATTCCTCTCCACCCACAACCTTATCTCCAGCTTCCCTCCACTTTCCTCTGTCCCTCCGTCCCGATGCCATCGTTCTTCGAAGCCACCCGATAGCACCTCAGCATGCAGACTGCCCCGACATCAGCAAATGTCCAGCTAGCCAGTGCAGAAGCCGAACCACCACGCCTATTCCAGTGTAGCACCTGCAAACGGTCCTTCACGAGAGCGGATCACCTTACGAGGCACGTGAGGGCGCGTAAGTGCTTTTAGAATTAGTGAACAATGTGGTCCGTCAGCCGTGTGCCTGACTACTTGCAATTGAAGCTAGTTGGCCGTCATAATGGCGTCAGACGCGTTCGCGTCGTTGACTCGCGCCGAAAGAACTGCTTTTTCGCGTCTTGAGCATCTTGTTCGCATATGATGTTCATCATGTCCCATTCGCCATGCTAATCCAGCACTGACAGATACGAAATCTAAGCCTTACATCTGCCCCGTGTGTTCTAAAGGCTTTGCGCGAATGTGAGTGCTTTATTGCATGCAAAAAGTTATACTCCGCTGATTTGTTACAGAGATCTACTCAAAAGACATGTAACAAATCACGACACAGAGCCTGCAAGCAAGCGACAAAAGCGCGAGATCGCTCGCGATACCAGAGTCGTTCAGGCCTGCGAAGCTTGCTCCCAAAGCCATCTCCGCTGCGAAGACGAGAAGCCATGCAGTCGATGCAAGAAGAAGAAGATACCCTGCCGGGTACCTGAAGTCCCGGTTACAGACGAAAACGACATACATGAGATTGATGCAGTTCATGCGGCGCAGGATCTGCTCGATTTGTCGAATGGCTTCGATTACCCCTCATCGCTGCCGGCTCACGGCGGCAGCGTCAATACATCTGCATCCACGACCTCAGAGACTCCAGAACCTTTTCACAACCACGCGACCCTAGTCGTTACCGACGCGAATACAATGCACCGACACTCCGTAGCTTCAGGCGACCTCGAGACAAGGACAGCAGGTATGGGCGACATGCAGCCGCCACCGCCCAACAACGGCGGCGGCCTTGTCGCGATGAACCAGAACTACGAAGACCCGAGCGCATCTATGCCTTTCTTCGATAATTCGATTGCGCACTTTGACAACACGCCAGGGCACAATCCCTTCTTGCCAGACTATTTCCGCAGCATGCCCCCATTTGAAGCGTTCCTGTCTGGCCAGGCAACTCCACGCGGTATCATGGACCTCAGTTTCGATCTAGATGTTGGCTTGACCGACCTTGATCTCGGTCTCCTTGATCAATACAACTTCCAGGTCCCGTTCGCTGCTGATACACCATCTACGGACGCCCATGGCGCTGAGCAACCCGTACCCGAGACTGATACGGCTCCTGTGAGGGCGGAAGCATTCAAGCAGAGCATCTGGCGTTATCTCCCCCAACGGTCCAGGAACCCCACTGCGGAACAAGTCAACTTGGCTGTACCGGATACAGAAAAGGACGGTTATAGACGTTCCAACTTCACACACCGCCGCGTCGTGGCAGAGAAGTATGTTTAGCTCCGCGATTATGGCGTACAATAGATATATACTGACGTTCCTTCTAGACTACCACGTGCCAGCCGCGACCGGTTGATGGCTTTGGTTCTCGACACCTGTAGCCGAGAGAACGTCAAACGTATTGCATCGGCATTTCCTAGTATGGAACTACTGGACGGTCTGATCCAGTATTTCCTCTCATCGCCATCGATAGACGCGCCAACGTGGTTTCACCTTCCTACCTTTTCACCTTCGAAGTTGAATCCGGAGTTGCTTGCTTCTGTCGCGTCTGCTGGAGCTGCCACTCTTCCTGACATATCCTTGCGAAAGCTGGGCTACGCTCTGCATGAGGCTTCCAGGTTAGGGCAGTCTAAATCATTTGAAGAGGACAACACAGCCATTAGGGATCTTCAACACTTGCAGACGTTCCTGCTGCAACTCAAAGTTGGTATGTGGAGTGGCATCAGCCGGAAGATGGAGATTGCGGAGAGCTTTCTCCAGCCGCTGATGACGATGCTTCGTCGTGGTGGTCGCTTTCGTCGTTCGACTTGGAAAGAGATCAGTCCGTCTCCTGACGATCAGGGCTCTGTTTTGGAAGATAAATGGCTGAGTTGGGTCAACCAAGAGTCCTTTCTTCGCTTGGTTCATCGCGCCTTCGAATTCGATCGGCAGTCGTCGATGGCATTGCTTAAGCCACCACTGCTTTCCTACGCGGAGATGCAACTACCCTTGCCGAGTCCGAACTCATTATGGCAGGCCAAATCCGCTGCAAACTGGAAAATGGCGTACCTGAATGACGCATCGGCAACTGCGAAGCGACCATCAGCGACCGAATGCCTACTCGATCTGGAGCACCTCACTCAACACGACTATGCCAATTCGACTTATCTGTACCTGATGTGGGGTCCAATATGGGAATATCGTCAGATGTGCGCCTTGACATCTAGGTCACAGTCGCTGTCAACCAACAGCCTCATTCTGTCGTCGCGCTACCAAGAGCTCACAAAGCAGCTGGAAGATTTCAGGCTCAGCACACCTCCCATGACTAAGAGCGTTGAGATAACACTGGAGATGTTGCTAGTTCATCTCAACGCACCTCTCGATGACATTCAGCTCTTCGCGGGTATTGAAGGGCAAGAAGAAGCACGCAGCGCGTACCCTGGTCTTCGAGACTGGGCAAAGACTCCCTCAGCGCGTCAAGCACTGTGGCACGCTGGCCAGATCTTGCGCGCCGCTGAGGTGCTACCAAAAGCTCTGCTTAGTAACTTCAACGCCATTGCTGTCTATCATGCGGGGCTTATACTATGGGTCTACGGCTTTCTCAGACGATCTGTAACAACGGAACAGATTGATACGGCTGTTGTGCTCAACGGGGACGACTCGTTGAGCGCCCGCAAATTCATCACTCTGGATCGCGGTATACCAGCGATCAAGAACTCCGGATCACAACATCCTACCCACTTGAGCGATGTTTGTGGAGTCATGGACGGTTTGACGCAACTGCTTCGAGCGCATCATGACGCGTCAGAACCTTCTCCGCCGCTGGTCGGCAACTTGGTGCAACTGCTGGAAGGCCTGCGATCTGCCATCAAATGAGCAAGTCAGCATGTATGATGGTAATTTAAACTCGCGCATGTACGACTATATGTAGGATTTCATGAAGCGCCGGCGCATTGCTATACTTCATCAACATTTGGTAATAGTCATATCTCATCTATGAGATGTTCGGTCTAATTCAACGCCCGAGAGCCAGCCCATGCGAATGGATGACTCCCGCTTCAAGCCTGTGAATAGCGATCAAGACCATCAATCCTTGGTGCCGACCTCGAGCCCAGCGCTCTGGATGGTTCTTACGCACGTAAATGCCCATGCTTGCTCATCACGCCAAGACAATACTGTCACTTGCAGCAAAGCCGCGCACGTTCCCCATCCTTACTCCACATGCCAATGCATCTCGCTGCATCCTTCCACCGCACAGCCGGAAAAGGTCAGATCCAAGGATTCCAAACTCGATCTCGCGCCGTCATGTTAGCTTCTCCCTTGCACAATCCGCTGCAACTAGCTTTCTCCAGATGCAAACCCCGCAAATCTTGGCCGTATCCAGATGGTCTTGGTCGCCTCCACATTCCGAGTTACCCCAGACTGGGGATGCGACGGAGTCCAAGCGTCCAATGAGATTGTTGTGAGGCGCTATGAAGCCTGTCTGATTTGTCGACGGCGAGATGCCAGGCGTAACACACCGACGTGCCTTGCAAAGGCGTGTTGTTCAACGGTTCGACCGTGCGGTCTATTTAGATTGGAGGACTATGGCCGCAAACACCACTGTTGTTGGATACCGCTGGTCGTTGGCATCGTATAATCATCTCCGCGGTTTTCTTGCTCGGCTAGAATCATCACATTTTACTGATTCATCGCGATGACTTCTCTAAAGCAGGCGTTCAGCATCTCGAAAGAGGAGGTGAAGAATGCCCGACCGCCAGGAACCGCAACGCTCGTTGGTAAGATGTCACCAACTCCCCTAAACGTCTTTCTTGCTAACGAAGCTACCATCAGAACATCTCGAATGGACAGCGTCGCAAACAAACCACGATGAAATCCGCCTCGTACCTCAGCCATCCGCCGACCCAGCGGATCCTCTCAATCTGCCCATGTGGCGCAAGCTCGCAGTCCTGGCTGTCATGTCGATACATCCGTTCGTTGTGAATTTCACGAGTGCCTCCATTTCGAGTGCATTGCCCATCTACGCGTCCACGGGCGTGTTCGGCTTTCCGCCAAAGACATTTTCGCAGTTGACGTACTTCATCGCGTGCAACATTCTCATGCTGGGCGCGTCGAACTTGTGGTGGGTGCCGCTGGCGAACACGTTCGGTCGCCGCCCGGTTGTGCTGGGCAGCTTGTTGCTCCTGATTTTCTCGAGTATGTGGGCTGGTCTTGCGACTAGCTTCAACAGTCTGGTGGCTGCGAGGATCTTCATGGGTATCGGGGGTGGGCCGGCTGATGCTGTGAGCCCGGATGTTGTTGGTGAGATCTTCTTTGTGCATCAGCGTGGACGTGCTTTGGTAAGTCTTCTTTTCCACATCTTTCGAGTAGACTGGCACTAACAGAACGTCCATAGGCCATATACACGGTCATGTTGTCCTTCGGCTCCCTCGTAGGCGCCGTTGCGGGTGGCTATATCGTCGCCGACATGGGCCTTTCCTGGCTCCACTGGATGAACGTGCTCCTTTCCGCCATCACATTCGTCCTATGCCTCTTCTTCCAAGCCGAAACCCTCTACGACCGCAAATCCACCACCGTCACCTTCTCCGACGACCCCGACAAGCAAACCGTTGAGACCAAAGAGAGAGTCGTCGTCGCAGATGCCGCTTCCCCGTCTTCTTACCCGTCTTACTCATACGCTAAGTCTCTTCGACTCTGGTCCTACCGCCCTGGCCTCGTGCAAAACTTTCTCGCTCCATACAAGACTCTCAGACTACCAGGTGTTTGGCTAGTATCAGGATGGTACGCCGGACTCGTCGGTCTCATCGTCACCATGTCGAGTGTAGGCCCGCAACTCGTTGCCGCGCCGCCTTATCTGTGGGGAAAGAACGTCGGACTCATCAACATCGGCGGTATCTTTGGCGCTCTTCTCGGATGCGTAAGTTCCTATAACCCTACCATCAGCGTTAGCGTTTACTAATACATTACCTCTAGGTCTACACCTACCTCATCGCCGACTTCGCAACCAAGCGTCTCGCAAAGAAAGACCTCCACGGCTTCTCGGAACCTGAATCCCGTCTTGTCACCGCACTGCCCGCACTTGCCCTCGCCACAATCGGCGCTCTTATCTTCGGTTTCGTAGCGCAGAACCCTTCGCCTACCGGGTGGGTTGGTCTGCAATTCGGATTCGGACTCGTCGCTCTGGGGCTCATGCAAGCGCCCTCCGTTGGCTTCAACTACTTGATTGAATCCTACGGGGTGCTTGCTGGAGACTGCTTCGTTGCTGTTACGTGTGTGCGTGCTATTATTAGTTTCGCATGGACGTTCTTTGTGGGCGAATGGGTTACGCATCAGGGTGCTGCGGAGCCGTTTGGCATCTTCGGTATGCTGATGGGTGTGTTTGGGTTGTTGACGATTCCCATGTTGATCTGGGGGAAGCGGTTGAGGATCTGGACTGCTAAGTGGGTTCCCGAGGGTGCGGGCTTGTAGTGAGATATGCGGACCTGGGGTAATTATTGCTGAGTAGCTCCGTTAGTGCTCACTGTATTACGTAGTGTACAATCTCGGATCAACGTCTTCATTGAGCGTGTCTTCTCTGAATTTCCTCGTGGTGTCCAAGTGCACCGTGATTCTAGCTCTTTCTCCTAAGTCTGCCGCCCTTGTTCTTGATGACCAGCGAGCATCGCGCTGCCATCTTCATGATTAGCGCATCACGACAATCACCCAACACGATAACCTAGCTCTCTGTAGGAATGCGCAATACCATTCAATCTATATTACACCCCACCCTCAAACAAAAGCCCACCTCCTCAAGCCCGCCCGCACACCAAAGAAAAGCGCCGAGCCAATACATGTCAGAATAGGAATACCATATACACCCAACCCAATGAAGATACCCTGTTCAAAGTAGCCAATCGCGATTGACTCAGCACGCTTCTTCTCCTTAATCTCCTGCGTCGCTTTGCTAAGGAGCTCAGCCGCGGCCTTCTTCGAGTCCTTACCCGAAAGAACCTTCGACATTGTCGCTTGCGAAGCAGGCGCTGCGATATAGGCGGGCGAGATGCGGGTGAAGTGCTGGGCTGTGTATCGCTTCTCCACATCGACGGGCTGGAAAGACGGAGCAGCCGGGCCGAGGAGCAGACGGAAGGGGATGTTGTTCGTGAACGACGCGTCCGCGTTGACGAACTGTGAGAGGTACTTGCCCGTAGACGGGGTGCCGAAGTGGTATGCAGCTAGCAGACTCTGTTGGGGGTCTAGGTCGTCCTCCACGAGGCTGATGGCATGTTCCAAAGATGTGATTGCTGAGACGCAGAAGACGGGCTGTGGGGACTTGGTTGGTAGGGAGGAGAGGTTAGTGAGCTCGACGACGGCGCCGTTGTCGCCTTGTGTTATGGTGTTTAGCTTCCAGGACTTGCTGTCCGTGAGTCCTTGGAAGGTTTCTGCTACGCGTGAAGATTTCTTGTGCTCTCTTGTGTTGGTTGAGCCGTTTGACACGCCACTGGATCCAGCAAGGAAGGGAAGAGCGTGTCGAAGAACGTGCTCTAGGAACTCTTTCTTGATGAACTCGTTGACGAGGACGACGTCGGGTGCATATGGTGATGTTCCTCCGAATGCGAAGCGTGCTGTTACTAGTTGCTCGGCTGCTGATGCGAGATCTGCTGTGCGGTCCACAACTGCGACGATTTTGTTTCGTGGTGATACGAGTTGTGTGTATGTTGGCGAGCTGACTTGTGTCTCTTGGAATACTTGGAGACATGCTGATAGTGAGTCTGAAGGAGGATCGGAGGCGATGACGGCAAAGGTATCCGATTCGAGGGCTTCGGTAAGCAGCTTTCGGAGCATAGAAGGGAGTGCACGAAGGTTGTTTTCGAGCTGCAAGATCGTTAGATGATGTTTCATACTGAAGTTTGTAGAAAACGGACCTTCAGTGCTATGCAGCTGCCGGTTGCAAGACCAGCGCTCAAAGGTGCAATGACCGAGAAGAATGGCGTATGACTTCTTTGAGGCTCGATATACGCAACACCCCAAGGTTCTCTCTTATCACTAGCATCTTTGCCATTGGTGATTCTGTACTCGGCTTCCAGCTCTTTGGCCGCATCAATCGAGCCATAATGTTCCTTGACCACATCCAGGGCAAGTGCAACCTCAGTGATTGCCTCTTCATCCGACACATGAGTATCTTGCTTCAGGGCATCTGCGATTGCATTGCTGTTGTTGCGCAGCGCATCGTGCAGCGATTTGAGTTGTTTAAGACGGAAGAGAGCGTTGTGGCAGCGGGCAGTAAGCGCAGTCGCCTGCAGATTGGCCAGCGCAACTTCGGGGGTGATGGGCGACGACATTACGAATAGCAGGAACAGACTGAACAACAACAATGATTTTCCAGAAGAAATGTGCTCCAGACTGCGATATGTAATGTAAGCTCTAGGAGGTGTACGGATATTCTGACACGGCAGTCAGCCCATTTGCGCCGGCAATGCTGCCGACAGTACGCGGGCGCGATGAATCCCCCCACATTCCGACGATTGCGACCCCTGCCCCCAGCTTCTCCGCGTGTCTCCAACTTTCGGACCGCGAGGGACGCGTACTTCCATCTCACGTCGCTCGGGGTAGTAATATTGTTGATTGATACCATAGACGTCGTCGCCCAACTTTGTCCCACCAAGTTCGCTATCGCTGTCAACATGTCTGTAACAACCACCGCCAACCCGATCCACTACAACCTCGAGGCCACCCTCGCAGACTACGATCTCCATCACAGCGGAGAACAGACTGAAGGACTCGATACAAGTCTTAATGCGCATCCGGCACCGAATACTTCGTCAACGCAATCGCAGCAGAATCCTAGCGACTGGCCGACGGAACATCGCCGTGTGCCTACGTACCGCCCGATCAACCAA